GCGCCGCCCCAGGCCGGGCCGGGCGGTCAGGGCCCCCCCAGCACTCGCAGAGCTGCTGTCGTTTTGTGCCGTGTCGGGAGGAACTGCCAGGAAAGGGGCTGCCGCCTGGGCAGGTGCTCCGGAACGGGGCCTGACCGTGACTGCCGCCGGACGCCAAGCGGCGAGGTGGAACACCAAGGGAGAGGGGAAGCCCCAGGCTGTGTGCCCAGGGCACCCTCCCAGAGGCTCCGCCATCGCTGCACCTGGCTTCATATCCAACTTTTAGGGGGATGGGAAACTATTTGGTATAGCTTTCCTCAAGTTAATTTCCATTACTGCCAACAGTCCGCTTCACACAGGACTGCTATCAACACTCCGTGTCAGCGAGCGGGGTTACTTCACTGTGGTATCTCCAAACGGACATCAGCATTAGTAAACCCAAACTTAAAATATCTAAGTTACTTTTTACATGGAAGTCACTTGGAACTAAGCTGGCAAGCTTCAGTTTCCACTGAGGGTCACTCCGTAGCTCTGACAAACCAGCTGGGGAAGGGTAAAAGCCATCCCATATAACATTTTTGTACAACTGATCTTTTAAGATTAAATATAAAGAAAACCCTTAAACACAATTACTGAAATTGAATATAAATTTAAGTGAAGATAAAAATACCCAACAACTCAATTCTTCAAACCATATTAATGCTGATTACTGCTATTTCAATTTCATTCTGGGCTAGAAGCGTTTACTGCCCTCTCCAGTCGCGACAACACAGGGATGCAGCTTCAGGTCACCTCCAAGGGCCCCAGATCATTTCGTTTACACAGGCAGAACAGAGAGAGCCGGTGACTCCAGGGAGAGGCGAGAGCTGCCTATGCCCAAAGGCATTAAGCCTGACGGGTGCCACGTGAAACCTCCAGTTTCCCCAGCTGTGGCTGCAAGCAGGCGGCAGGAGCAATCGGTTTCCAAGCAGCAGAGGAATGAAAAAAGCTTTTTTCCAAAAGAAAGATAGCTCGTAATTATAGTGGACCTGAAACAAGGATTGCAACGTAGCACCAGCTGTAAGCCTGCAACTCATACTTTGCCAGCTGAGGGATGAGAAAGCCAGAAGGGGATGATTTGGAGAAACCCCGAACATGAGCTGGCCCACAATTTGCTGATCATATGGAGTTTATATACAGAATTCTGCTGTGCTGGATTCTCCCACTGCATTTTGCTTTTACCACCAGATGCCTCTAAGGACATCTGCTAATCTGCTCAGAGAAACCTCAAAGCCGGACTGTAACAGGGCACAAGAGGGGGGAAAAACTGAAAGCAATGCCAAATTGAGGCCCATTCTTCGTACCAGGCATCCTGAAATGACTTACAGGTGTCTTGGACAATGCTCCCGCAGAATTTTCATGTATTATCACTATGCATTTTGCACAAATGTCCCGAAAGGTCGCACTCATAGAGAAGCAACACACATGACGACCCTTTTGATTCAGACAACTGGCTAGGACACTGCCGACATTCAGATCATCACAGGTCTGCCATCAAGCAACAGGATGTTTCAGTGGAGGCTTTACAGGCCTCCCTGCACTCCCTGACCACGCTCACACCTCTGAGACAAGGCACCCCACCTCCTAGCCTGGAAGGAGAGAGGAACCATCCTGCTGGAGGCCATGAATAGCATATCCAGCCCTTCCAGGCTTGTCTGCTTCAGTCTCAAGGACTGCCAAACTGACAAGCCAACAGTGATAGTCCAGACGGGACAATCAGGAGGTCATGGATGTCCCAGCGTGAAGGCAGGTGACAAATATATCAGAACTAAACCAAAAATCCAAAGCCATGAAAACTGAAGTCATGCTGGTTAATTAATTATTTATGGTCTCAACTCAGTTGGAGATGTGGAAAAAAAACCCCAAATTCTCAGAGCATCTGCAGTATTTACCTTTCATGGATGTTCAGATGGGTTAACTTCAGTCTCTTCATTAGTTCAGAGATGAGCTATGTTAGAACAAATGAATGGTGTTTCCATAAAGCTCTTGGAGCTGTACAGCCAGCCACCCTGAAGTAGTATTTTTTCATCCACAAACACCAGTGCAAGCACAGTCACAGCATTAGGAAAGACCACCTCTGAAGCCAGTCAAGGAGCTCTGGTTCTGCAGAGGTCATCTTCAAGGCTAGGACAGGAGGAGCCACCTCTCAGCAGCCCAGAGCTCAGCGCACTGCTCTGCTCACGGAGGCGACACCGTCTGGTGCCAGCAGCCTGCGCCTGTCCCGGACACTGGCCCAATGCTTGCTAGAGCCTGGACCGACTTTGGGATGAGGCAGTGAGGAAGGAAGAGGGAGCTGAGTAAATTATCGATGCAAGAAATGTGAGCAAACTCCCTGCTCATCCCAGTCAGGGTCTCTCTGCGTTTCAGGAAAAAGAGTTTGATGTATTTGTCTGGCTCAGATGCTCAGACAAACGCTGCTCTCCCTGCCAGCCGTCTGCCACATCACTTTTAGTTCTCCAGGCACACACGGCCAAGAGAACATGCTCCCAGCCTTTGGCTGCCACACCACTGACTCTGCTATTCTAGATCCTGATCTAAAAGCTTTAATACCTGACTCCAGTCCAGGCTGAGTAAGACTTGAACAAACACCACTTGTTCTCAGTAAGTCAAGAGCTGAACGCTGTCACTAGCCTCTGACCAGGAGGCGGCATTTCCCCCAAATGGTAGTACTAGTATCAGCTTCTCCTAATTCCAAATGACATCAATGGTCTGAAACAGGATACAAAAACCTTCCTGCGGGTACAGCATCTCCACTCACACCCTGGCTGTATCATCACTAACTCGTCTTAAACGTGGAATACTTATGAAAAATGGCAACTGAGAAGACAAAATTATCAACAAAAACCTCACATTGCTTCCAAGTCCAGAGAAATAAAACTAGATGAATTACAACATGGAGCAGGTCACTTGACCAGCGACACAACAAACAATGCTGTCATTAAGTCATTGACAAATCTGCTTTAGGGCAGAGAAATTTGGAAACATCAGGCAATCAAACTGTGAAGTCTGTGAAAAAATGTGATTAATGCAAAAATGTGATGAAACCAATGTGCTTGGCTCCAGCATTTCATGGCACCCCCAATACTGGAACAAAACCTGATGGCTTCTTGGCGAGCAGTGCCCCTCTGCGTTCCCCAAACATCGTTATCTGTGTCCTCTTTGTTTTCTAGGTCTGATCAGAATCTAAAGCTTTTATTTTAGCTACATTTCCAAGGATGCGTTTCCCAGGATATGTACCCATAAACAGAGACGTGTACACGCACACATACTCTGAATAATTGTGCAGAATTTCACTCTTCCCTCCAGAGACATAAAAGAGCCAAGTGTTATTAAATTTACAGTGAGATTGTTGTAGTTTTCACATGATTTTCTTGATGCACTGCAGATTTTTTAACAGGCTACCACCTTCTCTCCCATTTAACGTCAAGGTACTTGTCCAGTCTCAGCTACACCTTCAACATCTTTGATTTCTGTCTAAGGTTATCGGTCCCAGGGGCAATATTCTGTTTGGCAAATGTGTCATTTTCTCTCTTCTCTTCTGCTTGTCTTCGGCCCTCCACTTTGTGTGGAAAAGGAATGCATGGGCCTGCAGAGCTCAGGATGCAACAAGGGAGCAGTGCAAACTTAGGCTACTAACGCCGTGGTCAGTGTTGGGCCCCTCCCTCCCAGAAGGACCTGGGGGGGCTGGAGCGTGTCCAGAGAAGGGCAGCGGAGCTGGGGAGGGGTCTGGAGCCCCAGGCTGCTGGGGAGCGGCTGGGGGAGCTGGGGGGGTTCAGCCTGGAGCAGAGGGGAGCCCTTATCGCTGCCTACAACTGCCTGAGAGGAGGGGGGAGCCGGGGGGGAGGGGCTCGGGGCCCAGGGCAGGGGCAATTCCTTCCCCTGGGGGCTGTCAGGCGCTGGAAGCGGCTGCCCAGGGAAGGGGTCGAGTCCCCAGCCCTGGGGGGATTTAACAGCCAGGCAGAGGCAGTGCTTAGGGACAGGGTTTAGTGGTGGACAGGTACGGTTGGGCTTGATGATCCTAAAGGTCTTTTCCAACCAAATGATTCTATGATTCTAAGATGTTTGTGTGTGCATTGGGACATATTCTCCTGAGGAAGACACGCAGCATAACTGTGACATGAAAGAAAATAATAGTCCAGGGCAGATGCAGGGAACTCCACAGAGCAAATTTCCCGACAACTCTGCACATCCGAGCAGCCTTCTCTTTAGGCTGCAAAGCTTAGAACAGTAGTGAATGAAATCCACCCTGAAACACTGCGCTCCAGAGAGTCCATCTGTAAACGACAGCAGCCCATTCCTATCTGACACTGAACCACACATGTGGAGCGTCCTTCAGGGAAACCTACTGCCAATACTGCAAAGGCTCTTTGCAACCAAGTAGGTGCCTACAAAGGGCACTTGAAAATGCAAGACCACGGGTACAATGGAAGGGACCTTTTTGGGGACAGTCTGGGCATCTCTCATAGTATGCATCCCAGTAGCGTTGAATATTGGGAAGAAAGAAAGTGCATGCAGATGTAAGTCAAGTTTGCTGGTGACAAATGACTGCTTTGCAGGGAAGGTTAGCGGCAGAGAGAGACGTTGTACCCTGAATTAGCCCCTTGTAAAGCAAAAGAGCAAAAAATTCTCCAGATACTCACACATCGGTTTGAGCTGTCCGATGAGTTCCTCTTTTGTCCACTTTGCCCATTCCTTCTTGTCTGTGTTTATTGAGCACAAGATGGGGCCACACGGTTTCCCGCAGTCCTCGATGGCAGGGACATTCAGGTAGTGCACCAACACAATGTCTGGGTTCTGCAGGGAGAGCAGAGCAAAAGTTATGTCGCTGGGCCTCTGCCCTCTGCTCAGGGCTCTCTGCATTTACCTTCCTAATTAAAACCATGACAGAAAGCATCAGAATCAATCCCAGTACATACTGGATTTCCCCGAGGTCAGAGCTGTTCTTTAGAACAGGTACCTAAGGACGAGGCACGACAGAGTTTGCCCGCAGCTTCCCCCCTGCCCGCGCGCCCTTTGCTTGCAGCCCTCCTGCCCCCCTTGTGTGCTCAGGGTGAGCCTTTGTTCCAGCCCATACAACACCGAATACTTGCCAGAGCCCTGCAAGCACCAGTCGCAACAAACACCGGATAATTTGCTTTGGTTTAAGGGACCCATAGTCTGTTTGATCCAATGCTTTCATCAGCTCTGGTCCACTCAGGCCATTTCAAATACACAGAAATTCACCCGAGAACATCAGTAACAGCCACGCTTTCTGTGTGGTGGCAGAAAGAGGGAGGGAAGAGACAAGGAGGCTCACAAACAGCATTACAGAGTGCCCAGAGGACAAGCTCTTTTTCAGACAAGCCCGGAATTTCTTGTCTTTTGAAGATCTTGCAGCTTTGTGATGGAAACAGCGAGCTGCAGAAGGTCAGGACTGAAAGAGACCATGTCCCTTGCAGAACTGCGAGGCGCTTGCTCCCGCAGGGCTGTTTAACGCTCCCCTCTCTCCCCCTGCACCTTCTTACGGGGGCTGAGAGAGGGGATGCAACGCCGCTTTGACGCACTGCAGCGCCGACCCACTGACACAGGCGTTTCGAGCGGGGAGCCGAGCAGCCTCTTACCACCCTGCGAGTAAGTGAATCATCCTAACAGCAGCAGCAACTCCGCCAGCTCCCCAGCGGCATCCCAGGGAGACTGTACAATAGATAATAACAAGATTGAGAAGCTGATTTCTCTCCCTTAAGTCAGTTACTCCTAAGTTCACAAACTTTAACGACTGCTTTGGAATTATTTATAAAAATAAATAGGATAATGGTGTAATTAAAACTCTAATGTTTCATTAACGCTGTTAGAGCCCTGTTCTGAGCGGGAGAGGGAACACAAGCCATCACTCATTCGCAGAGGTTGTGCTAATGGGAGCAGTCGCTTATGAAGCCCGCAGGAGCAATTTGTGGATGCCTGCACCAAAGCCAGACCAGTGGCAGGGAACTTCCGACAGGCAAAGCCCAGCACCGAGGCCAGGCACGGCGCGCTGCGTCTCCCACCTCCTTGCCAAGAGGGTGCTGGCAGCTGGAAGGCCACCCCTTCACGTGGTGACCACGTACAGCGGCGTGACCAGCACAGCAGCCCCACGGAGCGTGCCCCCTCCCTCCGTCCGCATCCCCTTGCACACTGGCACCCAGCAGGGCTCCAGTAACCAGATGCATCCCTCTGTCTGGAGGAGAAGCTCTCTTTTAACTTGGGAAGACATGCAAGTAGGAACTTGCATTTTTTCCCCTCTATCAATGAAAACTGCAAGTGGGGGATTTTCAGTGAGGATTCTGCTAGACCGCAGTACCAAATTCTTGCAGCCTATGTTAAAAAAAGAGTTGTATCGCACAGGGAAGAGGCAAGGAACCTAGCAGGGAACTGCTAACAGTTTATTGCAGAACAATTTTGCAAAGCACTAAAGCAGAGAAAACCACCAGCTCTTCTATTCCTGTGATTCTCCTGGAGACAAACAATTGGACCTTTTACGTTCAACTCCTACGCGTTCAAACCCTTCCCTTTCACAGGGCCCATCTTCTGCCCCAGACGAGAGACAGCCGGAGGAGTTAAAACACTGTATCCTCCCCTTCCCCACTGCAGTGCAAATCCCCAGGTCGCCATGCAAAACAGAGCCGTGTTTTCCTTTCGGTTTTCCCGTTTTATCCTTTAAAGGCAACGGAGTTGACAGACGGGGCTCCCAGGGAATCAACCAGGTGGCTGAGCCACCTCCAACGCGAGCGGACAGTGCTGCTCAGAAGCGGGGAGGTGATGAAGGGAAGGTCTGAAACATTACAGTCCTCATGCATAATTCAGAAAAGATTCAGACAATAAAAATGATTACTCATACACCCAAATAGTCTCCATCAGCTAATTTAACATAATTAGTGATTTAGATGATGAAGTAATAAAAAGTAATATGCTTTGGAGATTTTGTGTAAAGACACCTCTCGGTCTCGGAGAAGTTTCAAAGAAGAGAGCAAGGCCACGCTGCCACCACGGTGTCAGGCGACTCGGCAGTTCCGCGGATGCTTCTTCCTCCGTTGCGGATAAACTTGATTTTTCACAGCCTGATGGTGCCTGTTTGTCACCAGGCAAGTCAAGACAACGGGGCTTCCTGGCCCCACTGCAGCAGAAGCAAGTGGACCTCAGCAGTGGGTCGGCACTAGGATTTATACTTTTTACATACAAAAGCGTATAAAATAAACACAAAACCCGCAGGTTTGTTCCTTATGTCTACATCTAAAAGTTGCCTTCAGATCGGCAGGTCTCATGAATGCCAACCTACCCAGGGAACCGAAACGCTTTGACGCGAAGTAAGAGAACACCTATGTTTGGGAAAACTCAGTCAGCAGAGAAGCGCCGTTTCTTTGTGTTCTCCAGCAGAACACGGGAGAAGTGAAAGCCTAGAAGAGAAGTGACATTTGTGACTTCCACGCGGAAAACGTGCCAGGGCACTGGACGTGCCACAGCCGAAGCCCTTTCCCGGGGCAGCAGGGAGGTCCTACAGGGAGCCCCAGACCAGGCGCAGACAGCTCTGGAAACGCGTGCGTCGGAAAGCTGCCCATAATTCCCATGCCCCTCGCCTCTGCGGGGCTGCTCCCCTTCCCGCCCATGTGAGCCGAAGCTGCTGCCACCAGTCCTGGTGGCCTGGGCAAGCCTCCCTGGCTCGCCGCACCAGAGGCACCCGCTCCGCCGCCCCACCGGGGCCTCCC